TGAGATTATAGGTATGAGCCACTACACCCAGCAAAGTTTTCTATTTTTCTCTTCAGAACATAAATTTCAGCTAAAGATATCTATTCTTTAGTGATGGACCATTATGGAAAGTTAAAACAGTACAAGATATAAAATAACGTCTGGTTTTAAAGGTGGCTTTTAAGGAGCACAAGGAAATGAAACATTTTTTCAAATCTTCCAGCTTCTATGGTTCATTTTCACAATATAAAAATGAATTTAAGCACCCAAGCATATTGTTCCAGAATATTTAAAAATAACTTTATGCTACAAAAAGTCAAATATGTTTAGTTTTTATTGAATACTTGAAACATAGAGCATAGAGAAGAAAATAAGAGCTTGCCAGATCTGTAACTCAGACACAGACACTGCCTTCCTTCATTCTGGCATATTTGCAACAAGTACAACGTCTGTTTCACATGTGCACACACACATACACGCACCTCACTACTGCTTGAGACACTTAGGTATTTAACAATATTATTATTTGCTGGAGACCAGCTCCAGCCGGGTTCAGGGTACCCCAAAGGTGGAGACGGCGTTGGCGATTAGGGGGAAGAAGAGAGAGAGAGAGAGAGAGAGAGAGAGAGAGAGAGAGAGAGAGAGAGAGAGAGAGAGAGAGAGAGAGAGAGACTGGACTCTAGTCTAGTGCAGAAGCCATTTAATGGGAATTACAACTACACAGTCGGGTGTGTGAGGGGGGTTCCCCACCCACCAGATGTTCTTTCAGGTATAATCCCATAACCTAATCGATGAAACCTTAATCCATTTATTCAACTTCAATAAATCCTAAGATCATGACCCAGAAGCCTGTGACCAATACTAAGGCTCTTAGATGTGACCTGAGTTTGAATTATAAGTTGTATGAAAGCCAAAACTGCAGTTTGTGGAAGAATGGGAGCAATGAGCTTCTAAAGTTAGCTTGTGTTTGTCCCGGTCTCAGAGTTTTTATGTTTTGAGTTCACAGGAACTTAATCTGGTTAGTGCTGAGTAGAAAGGGGGAGGAAATGGGGTCAATAGCTCCCGAACGCATCCTAGTGGTCTCGGGTCAATGGCCCTTCCTGATCCCTAACGCTCAGTGGGCCTCCGTGGCCGGCTCCCAACAATTATTATTATTATTATTTTGAGTCGAGGTCTCACTCTGTTGCCGAGGCTGAAGTATAGTACCATGATCATGGCTCACTGAAGCCTTGACCTCTTGGGCTCAGGTGATCCTTCTGCCTCAGCCTCCTGAGTAGCTGGGACTACGGGTACATGCCATCACACCCGGATTCTTTTTTTATTTTTTGTAGAGATGAGGTCTCACTATGTCACCCAGGCTGGTCCGAACTTCTGGGCTCAAGTGATCCTACCGTCTTGGCCTCCCAAAGTGTTGGGATTATAGGTGTAAGCCACCATGCCCAGTTATTTAACAATATCACAATCATCCTGTGTATACAGTTTATATCCCACTAATTCCATGGAACTGTGTATTAGAAGCTGTTTCTCAGACACTTTGGAGTGGATTATAAACAAATGTGGAGACTGACGTATCTGAGGAGAGTGAAGTCATTGAGGGAGTGTTTTGCCATGAGCTAAGAGGTCAAGGTCAGTCCCAGTGAAGTCCAGGGCTTAGCGACAGGCTAAACAGAGAACAACTCCCAGCTCCTTTCCCCAACCACTCTCCTCAGAGTCAGGGGAGAAGCCCAGGTCCCCACTGCAGCTCCAACCCCACTCCCTCTCGTCCTTCTTTCCTTCAGAGGCAGGGAAGGGGCATATGGCACTTGAGGGGAACCAAGGAACGGTCAGTATTTAAGGAGAAAGAGGGCTATTCCCGGCCAGTCCTAGAGCCCCAAGAGGCAAGTGCGGACTGCTGTGCATGGTATGTATGCTGCAGGTGGTGAGGACATGGATGTACCTCCCTGTGTTTTCAACTTCCAGAAAATGCCTCATCTGCCTTTCAGAATAAATCTCAAGGCTTTCAGAGAAAAAGAGCAGGCTTTAGCAAATGACTATGTTATTCAGCAGCTGCTCATTTTAAAAATAACAGCTTTCTTGAGAAATAATTCACATTCCACACAACTCACCCATGTAAAGCGTACAGTTCAATGGTTTCTAGGGAATTCAGAGTTGTGCAACCATCAGCACAGCTGACTTTTTAAAAAAATTGTCATCAATCGAAAAGAAGCCCTGGACCTGTTAACACTCACTTCCTCTCTCTCTAACCCCTCAAACCCTAGGAAGCCATGAATGTCCTTTCTACCTCTAGGACTTGTGTGTTTTGGTCTTGCATCTAAATGGAATAAGGTAACATGTGGGACCTGGGTCTGGCTTCTTTCTCTGAGAGTGCTGTTTCCAGGGTTCATCCATGCTGTGGCATGTACCGGCTCCTCAGTCCTTTTCACTGATGAATATTCCACAGTATGGATACACCACACTTTAGTTTTCCATGCTCCAGTCAGAGAACACTGGATTTCTGGCCACTTCTTGGCTACAGTGAGTTGGATGTTCCTGTACTACTTCTTGGCTACTGCTGTGGACATTCCTGTACTACTTTTTGGTTAGACATGAGTCCATTCCTCCTGGTTAAATGCCCAGAAGTGGAATAACCAGGTCAAATGGTGCTCTGTATTAGGGAAACTGCAAGAGCAGTTCACTTTTCAGGCATTTGGTGAGCCTGAACTAACAAATATCTAATGTAATTGTCTATTTCTATGGGGCTACTGTAAGTGAAGAGAGTATTGTACTAAAAGTCGGGGATAGAAAGTCAACTTGCTTTGTTTTCTATACACCTCATCGACAAAGAACAATTCTTTTTTTTTTTAATTTTTAATTTTTTTATTTTAAAGATGTGGGGTACAAGTCAGGGTTAGGTATACAAATGTTCATTATGCAGGTACCCTTGTTGATGAGGTGTGCTCCCCAAGAACAATTCTTTAAAATGATATTTTTATAAGAATCTTGGAATATTTGGTCATGTTTATCAGACACATGGTTTTAGAAATATCATTACATCTACAACAAAAAAAGTCCACCTTAAAAAAACATGGCTTAAATTATGTTGCTATTGGTAACACTGAACTAAAAACTCAAGTGCCTACAGTAAACTAGAAGGCCCTGTCTGAGATCTTTGTGTACCTAAGAGATGCTAGGACAATTTGTTAAGAAAGTTAAATTCCAGGCTCTACTCCTACGAGATTGTGATTCACCAGGTCAGGAGTGGGGCTTAGGGCTGTATTATAACAATCCCCCCTATTCTCCAAACACACAAAGGTGGCTCTGACTCAGTAGGGCCAAAGTGGCCAGTCTTTGTATTTTCCTACCATTGGTGTTGTGCTGTTGTCAACCTGATTTTTTTCTCTCTTTTGTAGTCAGGGGTCTTACTCTGTCACCCAGATTGAAGTGCAGTGGGGTGATTATAGCTCACTACAGTGTAGCCTCAAACTCCTGGGCTCAAGTGATCTTCCCACCTCAGCCTCCAGAGCAGCTGGGACTATAGGCACATGCCACCTCTCCTGGCTATTTTTTAAATTTAAATTTAAATTTTGTAGAGACAGGCTCTCATTACATTGTCCAGGCTGGTCTTGAACTCCTGGCCTCAGGTAAGTGAATCTCTTACCTCAGCCTCCCAGTGTGTTGGGATTACAGGCATGAGCCACTGTGCCTGGCCTGGTTTCTCTTTTCTTATAGAAGTAGTCAGACATCCTTTAAGCCTTGAGTCTCACGCACCGTCTCCTTTCTGAACTCCATCACTTGGAAGAGCTTTTTCCCTTCTTTTTACACCTGAGATACTTAAAGTCTGTATATATCTGGTCTGTGTATTTATTGTCCTCTTGGTTGATTCATTCCCTCAGCTAGATGGCAACTGACTTGAAGGCAGAGAATGACATATGCACAGCTCACCTGTATGTCGTGGCAGAGAGCACTGTGTAGTAAAATTTGAATATTCAAGGGCTGCCCTGACATCTCTGAACCTCACAGGGCCCCAGAGGCCTCACTACAAGCTCCCTGATCTTGCTAGATAAGCCCCACCCAGCAGGAAAGGCTCCCTGCCCTGCTGAGGCCGTGTAAGCTGGACCATCTGTCCCCCATGCAGTCCCCAATTAGACCCTATTCTAACAGACCTTGCCAGTCCACAAAATGACTCAATTGAGCCAGTCACATCTTCTGCAAAAACCAGAAGCCACCTCAGCCTCTTGTTACTACAAAGTTGGCCCCTCACAGCTTCTGCTCCTGAGTACAGCCCCCGTGTGGCCTTGGGTGGCCTGTGGTGTCCTGCTCCCCTGGGAGTGAGTATATGTGACTAATACATTGCTGTCGTGGCATCCGCTCAGAGTCGGGCATTGTGTGTTCAACCATCTTGTAGTATTTGGGGCAAAGAATCACTCCTTTACCAATGGAATGAACAGGAGGTGATCATGCAGACATGGTAGGTGCTCAGCTACTATGGATTGATTGGCTGTGAGCTATTTTAGATCTCATCCTTACGTTGACCCCATGTTGAGTGCTCACACCTCACTTGCAGGATGGGTGTGCACATGAGCTAGGCAGAGTCAGCTGTTAGACTGTGTTTCTAACTCCTAGTAACTGCGACAAGAAAGGAAAATAACATAGCCATGAACCCCATATTTTACTGAAAACTGGGCAATCCAGCCTGACGGTGGCTGTTCATGCCGATTTTCTGTGCTGTGTCTCGTTGCAACAACCTGCTGTCATGCCTGTTGCTTTGTTTTCCAAATGGCACACTGTGGCAGGGAGGAATGGTATTTATACAATATGGCTCTTCTCTGGAAACTGAGGAGACTCTTCAGGGATGTGTAAATAGCCAGGGAAATGTTTACACTGTTTATTATCCAACAGAGTATAATGCTCCTAATATGTTCTTTGAGAAAATCTTTAGGAATCGTTAACGCCAGCAAGAAGGACTACTTCCTCAAAGAGCAAAGAGAGAATACCTTGCAACAGCATGTCTCAAAAGCAGCAGCCCCTTTTGAAGGTCTTACCTTTCAGAGTCGCCTTCTTGAGGACCTTCATTGCATAGAGCTGTCCCGCGTCGGACCCCTTTACCTTCCTTACCAGAAACACCTTAGAGAGAGAAAACGGAATGTCTGAAACCGGGAAGACCTCAAACTCACTTTTCTGGTTTGATTTGACTAGGGGGATAGAAAGGAAGTTTAAAGTCAAGCAAAATAAACATACTGGAGGAACATTTAAGATTCTCTCCAACGTTGGGGCTGCCGGGAAAAGCTCTGATTTACAACAACTCTGTGGTGAATAGCATCACGTGTTTATATGAAGAGTCATCAGTTGGTTTTGGTATCATTCACTTTCTATTTTATTTTATTTCATTTTTTTGATTCAGGGTCTCACTTTTTTTCCCAGGCTGAAGTGCAGTGGCATGGTCACAGTTCAGCAAAGCCTCAACCTCCTGGGCTCGGGTCATTCTTCCACCTCAGCCTCTGAATAGCTGGGACGACAAGTGAGTGCCACCAAATCTGGACTTTTTAAATTTTCATTTTTTTGTGAGATGAGCACTTGCTGTGCTGTTCAGGCTGGTCTCAAACTCCTGAGCTCTAGCAATCCTCCCACCTTCACCTCCTAAAGTATGGGATTTATAGGCGTGAGTTACTGCACCCAGTCTACTTTCTATTTTCTATTAGGAGTAATATCACTCAATTTTTTGAAAACCAGCTAGTTAGAAAAATACACAATATTCAGAAGTTTTAAGGAGATTGCTTGGCTTATTTAAGTATCCCTCTGTAAAACCCTACTGTGGAGAACATCCTGAGAGTTACTGGCAATCACACAGACGCTCTATGCAATGTTCAAGATAAACTAGTTTCTCTTATTTGAACTTTCTTCACCCAAAATGTAGCTGTGAATAGCTTAAGTTTACAGATAGAGTTTGTTTCTAACTAGCTCTTAAATATACTCAAGTGCATAATTGACAGCACTTTGAGAAACACTTTTTGATGTGTATCACAGAGAAAAACAAAAGATACGGAGTTTAAAATTATATTGGTGATGTTTGGACAAACTTAGCAAAAACAAAACAAAAACAAAATAGAATATCCTTTATGAAAAAAAAATCTTCCATGCAAATGAGGACACTAGTACTTGATTTTCCAACAGATGCAAAAATCTCCTTGACCCACGGAGACAACACCAGCAGACAAATTTCATGGTGGCTACCGTGTGACGTGACTCAGGGGTGGTGTTGAGTGGCTCCCTCTGCAAGCGCCTTCCTTACAAGCCTCACAAAGCCAGGAAGCCTGGCCATCATGGATGCATGTTGGGGTATTCCAGCGTGATGTAAACTCCACATAGCCCCTGGCTGGTCAAGTATGCGGGCAGAAGTCTCATCTTGCCAGGGACGGGGACATGACACAAATTTTTTGCACTCTCTGCTCCCACCACAGACAATGTTCAGGAACTCACTGAGCACGGGAGGCTGTAGAGCAGGAGGTGCTGCCACTGCGGGCAAGCCAGCCTTGGCCTTCCCTTGAGGGAGGCCGGCAGAGTCTGTTTTTCAGCACAAATACAGGAGAAACTAGGAGGACAGAAGGTCCCGCGTGCGTGGATCACAGAGTCTGAATGTCAGTGTCGCATTCCCACCAGTGACCTGGGAGCAATTTGGCAGCCACCTGACCCTGGCACTGCCCCCATCCCTTGCAATCGCTGTCTCCAATCACAGCCCTTCGTGAGACGGGGAATAGCCAGAAAAATACCTACTGCCCCTCTGCCTGGAGAGCAGTGAGGGTGCAGGGGGGTGGAGCAGCATCGTTCTCTGTGACACCTGGCTGCCTCCAGGACCCAGGAAACCATGAGCAGTTGGGAACAGGTTCCCATCATCCCTTGAGGCTTGGGACTACACTGCCACTGAGAATTAACATCTCTGGGAGAGGCCTGGAGTGTCTGCATGGATGGGTGTGCACATGTGTTCCCTCAGCTGGATAAAAAGCCTGTGTACAGACTTAGAAGACGACTGGGGCCTCATGCTCACAGGCACTGCTGTGGGGAATGCAGGTACAAGCCCTTCTTGAGACCCAGGGCCCCAGTAGCTGTCGCAGGAGTCCCACTGTAGCCCTGGACATCAGTGTAGGTGGAAGGACTCTGCCTTGGGGAACGTCCTGCTGGGCCAAGGCCAACAGGCAGGTAGAGATGTGACAGCAGTCGTCAGAGAAGGGATTTTTGCAGAGAGAAAAACATGAGTGCATAGCACGTGAGTTTCTACCTAATTCTGGGACAGTCACGCTGTAGAGTTTTAGTTCCCATCCGATGTTGTCATTGCTTTTGTTTCTCCAGCCTGTCCATGGGGCCTAACTTGTCTAATCGACTTGATAGTAGAGCAGTAGAGAGTCGAGATCAGCCAGGGAATGTGGCCTGCCCACAGTGCTCCTGGTGCCAAGTGGGGAGGCCAGAAGTGGCCCAGGAATCTGGGGACAGAAGGGGCTGAGTGAGAGTCGCGTGGTGCTGAGAGGCCACTAGGCTGAGACGCATCCCTTCCCACCACGTAAGAGAGGGAGCCGGGTCTGGAAATGGGGAAAGGTGGGCTGGGGTAGGGGATGGTGTGTTTGTGGGGGGGAAGCTGCTGCTGGCCACCTGACAATGCATTCTTGTCACTCTGCAGGTAAGTGGGGCAGTGATGCTAGTGGGGACAGGCATGTGGTCTCCTGCCTGGATCACTAAAGAGCTGGTGCAAAGCACTCCTGCCATGGCGAATGAGGACACCTTGTGTGGGGCAAACGGACCAGCCTGGTCACTAGTCACCGTGTGGAGGATAGTGGACTGTGGTTGGTGACAAATGAATATTCCTGTTCTATTATGATGAGGCTGACCTGCAAGTTCCCAAGACGAGGTTGTCCTAGAACCAGTCAAACAACAACTGAGCCCCTCTTCCAAATGGAAGAATGCTGAAGACAAAGGAAGTAGGTTTCTGAGGGCCCGTGTCTGGATGGCCCAGCCCTTGAATCTCCAGGGTTGCTTTATCCCTCTATACCTCTTTATCCAGCCCTGCGGTATAAGGAAGGATGTCTGTATGGACTCAAAGAGCAGAGAAAACGCCATTCCACTTGAGTCCAAACCGAAGGCCACAACCACACAGGGCAGCGCCCATCAGGATTTAGTTTTAAGTGATGTCACATTTTACATAGATATTTACCCAGTAAAGCTTTTTTCCTCTATTGTATTTCAGGCTTTAAAAATGAAATGATTGATGGCAATGGGTAATGCGTATAGTAATCTGTTTTTTAAAAGATTTCTAATTTTATTTTTTAAAAGAACAGAAAAATTCCATCCCACCCTTGCCTGTCAATTTCCTGTGACGTGCCAGGTAGTGAAAATTGCTGCAGCAGGTGCCGCCTGCTGGCAAACGGCCCACCTGGCGGAGGGGACTGCATGAGACAATGAAAATCCAGAAATGAGTCTGTAACAAGCAAGACTTGGGTAGCATCAGGGCCATCTCCCTGTGGCACCATGCGCTTCCCTCTCCTGCTCTGCTGTCGTCCTCATGTCGTTTAGGAACCAATTTTAATGTGGTGTAATAAGAGCCACAACAATGCTGACAATGTAAGCAAACGAAGTCACCGAGACACTCTGCCTTCTGTGCTCCCTCGCTGCATTTCTAGACCTGTGTCTCAGCACAAGTGCATGACAGCCGCCACCTGAGACAGATGCAGTGTTTTCCTGGACTGCCTCAAAATGCCGTGGATCACTGTGACAAGCAGAATCACTAGCTGACTCTCATAGAAAAAGGCTCCAGTTCCCTACCGGAACTGGAAGGTCACACTGGTCTGTGATATCCTCTAAGCAGGAGACAACCGTACAGCATGCACTTCCTGGGAACTCTCAGGTAACAGTTGTCCCCAAAAGAGAGACATCTAGAGACATTCTGATAATGCCACCCATGAAGTCATGGGAAACGGGGACATTTTTCTATTGTGGCTTGCTCCATTCTTAGCATATAGGAATCATAACCTACAGCCCCTTCCCCAGAATATGTTTTTAAAAAAAGTTTTCACGTACCCCTGGCATTTACCCAACTGAGGGACCTCAAGGCAAAGGGAGGCAGATGAGGGTTCCCAGGTTCAGGCAGCTCCTGCTTTCCCTCCCCCAAGCACTCAGGAAACACTTGGTCTGCACATCTCAACACTGAGCACATTTTTGTCTTAATTAGATTTTTATTTATTATTATGATTTTATTTTTGGATTGAATTTTAATTTTTTAAAATATCCAACAGCATGTTGTTACAGGGAAAAAATTCACAGAAAGTCTGCAAATAAAAGATAAATGTAATCTTGATTCTAAATCTAGATAAGGTCAGTATGAGAAAAGAAAATTATAGGCTATTAAATTTTTGAACATAGATTCAAAAATCCTAAATAAAATATTGGTTTGCTGAATTTAATAGTATAGTAAGGAATAATACATCATGGTATAATAATAATACGTCATAATATGTAAGATGCATCCCAGGAAAATCCAAGGATGGTTTGTTTTTTTAAAAAACCCATCAATATAATTCACCACATTGATAAACTATAGGGAAAAATTATGAAAATACCCCAATCTATATCTAAACATTTGATTAATTTCAATAGCTATTTGTGATTTAAGAAAAACAACTCAGAAAATTAGGACTAGAAGGAAACTTCCTTAGTTTGATAAAGTTTACATGCTGAGAATCTACAGTGATGTTATATATAATGGAGAAATTATAAACCAGTTCCCTTTAAGAACAGGTTTCTTATTGCAGTCATGTGATCAATTTTTAAACATTTTTACACACAATTTTCAGAAACACATATAGTGAACACAAAAAATAAAACATAAATTATATCATGTAATTGTGTCAAGTACTATTCTAGGCTTTAAGGATATAGCAATGGACAAAACAGAAATTATCATCATATAGCCAGATATTTGGTGTTGGGTAGACAGAAAACTCATATGACCTTTCAGTAAATGACTGGTCCCCAATGTAGATATGGACAGAGTAGTGCATAGAAAAATTGATGGCCTATAGGTTTAACAGTCTCTAGACTATGAAGATTGTGTGTGATAAAGAAATTCAGAACAATTTGTA